TTTTGTTGTCAGGTTGCTAACTCTCGTGGTACTAAGGCCTTTTAGTTGTGTTGACAGCACTATAGTGACATGGAGCAAGCATTAGTCAACCAGTTTTCAAGGAAGGAGAAACTATTAATGTGTTCCAATCAGGGTTCAAAATTAGCAAGGTGCCAGGTGCATTTTGCACCCAAAGCTTCTCCATTTGCGAGGACCTCAAAAAGTCTGGGTGCCATTTTTTGCACCTGACTGACACTCAGGGATTACTGTAGTTTATGTGCTTTGAAGCCTCAAAGTATATGTTAAGCACAGACAATATGTAAAGGAGTTTAACAATAAAGAGTAGAGTGTTTTGAAAACTAAAGTATGGTACCAATATTTTTATTGTAAACACCAAATTAAACATGTATTAACAATTTCTGATAAAAATGTGATCACAAGAATGTGTCTCTTATGTGAATTGTGTATTAGTTCAGGTTTATCAAAATAATAAATAAAAAATGTTGCCAATTCCCCCACCCCCCATGGCGACTAGACATTCTGTTTTGGTGCCCCACAACCCATGTCCTGGGAGCCATTTGGCTCCTAGCTTTTCTATCCCAGTTTCTAATACTGGTTCCAATGGAAAGATGGTGCGAGTTCTAAAGAGATGTTTTCACTCTGAAGCCAGGTTACCAATTGCAGGACAGCTATACACACAAATTGTATAAATCCATCCCCACTGTACTGCTGTCAGATACTGGAATTTGTCTAGCTATGAAGGAAGGATTTTCCCTCCTAAGTAGCAGATTTGCAGTGCTCTCTTCTGCCACATCTTAATGCATAGCTTCCCTTCACTCTCAATGAGAAGAGAGAAATAAACAGAAGATCAGAGATTCCTTTTGATGCCAAACTCTCATTCTGAAAAGATTTGAAGGAAAGTGTCTGGGGAACTGTAATGCAGTGTTTTCCAAAATGTGAAGCTTTATTTACACAATTTGTGCCAGCTACATTACTCATGAGAACATGTGAGGCAGACTTGGTCCAAAGCATTATGATTTTACTAAAAAAAAAACCACAATGTTGTGTCAGTGCCTTACTTTAACTATCTTGCAGTTATTAAGACATTATTTCTGTAAATGGACTAATTTTTTAAGAATGGTTTTGACTTAGGGTACTCTGCTTGTTGCCTTCTACCCCCAACAGCCCACCTACTTGAGCTCCCTAAAATAGCTCTGCTGGAAACCTCCCCCTCCCCGTATGTAGTCATGTGTTACCACTGGAATGGGAGAGAGGAAGTAGATACAGTGGTACCTTGAGTTACAGACGCTTCAGGTTACAGATGCTTCAGGTTACAGACTCCACTAACCCAGAAATAGTACCTCGGGTTAAGAACTTTGCTTCAGGATGAGAACCTAAATCGTGCTCCGGCAGCATGGCAGCAGCAGGAGGCCCCATTAGCTAAAGTGGTGCTTCAGGTTAAGAACAGTTTCAGGTTAAGAACGGACCTCCGGAACGAATTACGTTCTTAACCAGAGGTACCACTGTATGCATGTAGCTTAACTCTTCACTTTATTTGATTTTGGGGTGGGGAAATGATGTCATAGCATAACATGTGGCGCACCAATCTGAGCAAAAATAATTCCTGCACATTTTACAGTGATGTGCCCAGGTGTACTTGGTAAGAACTGGGCACAGGTTGACTTGCGTTACTGCTTGAGTGTCTGTGAAGTCATGCATTGAAGATACATTTGTTCTTGACTTCCTGTGGAGGAAAAGAACAGGCTAGAATCTGGGGGCTTGCTGAGTGCAGGGCAGAAAATTCTTACATGAGTAGAAGATTTGTCCTTGCAGTGAGATTAAGGGAACACTACTGCAAAGAAGATGTTTGAGTTGCTCTTTAGGCGTTTAGTGTCTATATGTTTGTCTTGTTTTATTAATTTGGAATATTTATATCCTGCCTTTTCTGCCCGACAACAGGTTCCAAGGTGTCTGTCAGTCACCCAGTTGTCAGGTAATGGTTTGGCTTAGTGCAAAATGTGTGGGTTCTGGGAGAGGAAATTGTGGTCACTTTGTTCTTCCCCTGGTCCTGTTGCTGCTGTTGTGAATCAAGGGGAATGAGGTAAGCATCTTCTCATCTGGGCAGGGTGATGGCAGCTGGCTTGTGTCATTGACTCTTGAATCTGTGGCAAACTGGAACCTGCTTATGATCTGGCATAAGCAGCCTTCTGCATTAAGTATGTGGTAGACACAGCAGACACAAAATAGGTATTGGGGGAGGGTCATACCTGTGTGGTTGCTCAACCAACCACTTGGAAGTTAAATGTGGTGGGTGGGTATTTCATTAATGTGTACAAAGAATGGTACGGCATGCTGTTTCTCTTCCCAACAACCTTGTGCGTGGGTTATTATTCCATACCCCAATGGCGGTGTGGCTCTGTGGGTTAAACCACTGAGCCTAGGGCTTGCTGATCAGAAGGTTGGTGGTTTGAATCCCTGCGATGGGGTGAGCTCCCATGGCTCTGTTCCTGCTCCTGCCAACCTAGCAGTTCGAAAGCACGTCAAAGGGCAAGTAGATAAATAGGTACCGCTCCGGCGGGAAGGTAAATGGCGTTTCCGTGCGCTGCTCTAGTTTGCCAGAAGTGGCTTAGTCATGTGGCCACATGACCCAGAAGCTGTACGCCGGCTCCCTCGGCGAATAAAGCGAGATGAGCGCCGCAACCCCAGAGTCGGTCACAACTGGACCTAATGGTCAGGGGTCCCTTTACCTTTACCTAACATAGCCAAAACCATTGTGACTGAGCCATTATTTGGAGCTTTTGAGCCTCCTTGGTGTACATTCTTGGTGGTTGTTTTGTGTTTCCTGGCAAAACAATAACATTTTCAGTTTTACATAGCTTTGTTGGGGTCTGAGTTATCTTATTATTATCGATAACTTTTAAAAGTCGGGTGACCGGATATAAATACACAGATCTGATCTGTGTTTTTGTTGTATTTTATTTTAAAATGTCTAAATTGTTTTTACTTTATTATTGAGAATATGGGAAGCTGCCTTTATGCCAGGCCAGACTATTTACCCATTCTTTCCTGTGTGTATTGTTTTCTCTGATCTGCAGCAGCTCTCCTGGGCCTCAGGCAAAGAGAAGAAGTATTTCCTGTCACTTTCTACCTGATCCTTTTCCCTGGAGATGCTGGGGATTAAATCTGGGGCTTGCAAGCAAAGCAGATGTGGTGTACCACTGAGCTGTGGTCTCTTCTCCAAATTTGGTTGCTTTGGGACCTGTGTTTGATGCGGAGAGGGTCTTCTCCCCACCATCTCACCTTGTCTGTCTTGGAAGGCGTCCTTTCAGCGTTTGGCAGCCATGGCTTCAAATTAGCAGTGTCTCTTGCATGACTGCAGTTGATCAATAAATGTGTGCAGGTGGGCTATACCACTTCTGCACACACTCACTCACTCCTTTGCACTCTGTTACCATGGTCTGTGTTTAGTGTATTCCAAGCGGGCCAGAGAGGGAGAAAAAAAAATGTATGACTTCTTTCCAATCATTGAGCTCAACTGAAATGAGCATTTGATTAGTTCCATCCCCAGGTATACATTTGAAATACAGGGTGGCATTTCTCTCCCCCTCCTTTGGGCAAATCTCATAGATTCCATGTGTGAGCGCCACCACCTTTTGGCTGCCTGTTTCCCTTTGGACTTGTATCTGAATCTGCTCTGTAGCTTTGTCCTTCTGGTCTGTTAATTGTTTTCATCATTATGCTGCAGACTTCCTGTTCTTTTCTTTCTTTTTTCTTTAAAAAAAAGTTTATCAGGCCCTCTTGAGGGAAAGACTATTATAGCTACGGTCACTTCCTGTGGTTATTGTCACTTTCCTTTTAAAAGGCCGCTTGATTCCTCCCCCATAAAGAAAAAAAACAAATCTCTCGAACATAAAAATGATTAGTGCACTAAAAATGTGAAGAACTGTTTTTCTACCTTTTTGCTGTGTGCCTCTCATAAAAGATGATGAATTCATAGCAAAAGTTTTCTTTCCTAGGGATATCATCTGTTTTGCGCAGAGTCTGCTAACATTCAGGATGTCAGGAAAATCTCTTCTCCCCCCACCTCCCACATCCCTGTGCTCCCCAGTTAAAAGAATCTGCCCTATTCTGGAGAGATTGTAAAGGAAGCATTTGGTAGTCATTTCCGCTAGCTTTTTTGTGAGAATAAGCATGCTTTACATTATAATAGTTTAAACATACTGCAGGCTGTTGATAGAGGTATCATATTTTCCATTCACAAGCGTTTAACGTACGCTTAAGAGCATAGTGGAGAGGGCAGGGTGGCTTTTATTGTTTAAAATTGGCTTGATTTAGACCATTGCAAAAGCCTGTGGTGCATGTGAGGGAAAGAATCTGCTTTAGGTCTTCTGACCTCTGTGTTTTAAACTCACTCGCACTGTGTAAGATTTTAACTAATGGCAGCGTTTTTGAACAGCCTTTTATGTTAGCTGTAGAAGGATGGTTCCATGGAAGAAAGAGTTCATCTTTTTCAGTAGCTGATGTTTTATTTAGGCTAGCTAAAAGAACAGCCAGCCTAAATAAAGCACTGGCTTAAACTACCTTCCATGGTAGTTTACACAAGCATTTATTAACAATTTTGCCTTGACAAATGTTTGTGTCTAAATGTTTTCATTTGTCTGCGAGGTTCAGTTCTGTTTGAAGGTCTTGGTGCCATTTTTTGAAATTAAGTGACTTGTACACTCCAGCTCTTTATGTTTGTGTTTTGTTAAGTTTACCTTAAATAAAATTGTGTTTAGGGAGTTGCTGAGCTGATCTGTGTATGCACATCTCATTGGCATCAGTATATATGGCTGACATGAAGCTTTTTGTCTCATATTTGACACTGTTATTTGCCCTTCTCTTCCAATGTGCAAAAACACTTTTACCTCTTTAACTAGAAGTAATTTTTATTTGCCACAGGTGACAAGGAAAGGGGCTATTTCTGATCCTGGGATATCTTACCAGGCTGTTAGATAGGTCCACTACTTACTCCCAAGTCTAGACCAAATCTCTCTCTCTCTCTCTCTCTCTCTCTCTCTCTCTCTCTCACACACACACACACACACACAGAGAGAGAGAGAGAGAGAGAGAGAGAGAGAGAGAGGCTCAGATCATGCCATTTTGGAGTTCCTCTGTTTTTGTTTTCCAAATGCTCAGCATTCATTCTCAGCTGTAGCTTAACATTGTGCCCTCCAGGTGTTATGAAATACAACTCGCGTCATTCCTGACTGTTGACTGTGCTGCTTGGAGCTGATGCAGTTTGTAGTCCTTAGCATCTGGAACATTTCAGGCTAGTCACCGCTGCTGTCAGTGCACTGGCCTCTGGAAGCAGAGCCACTGTTTCCTCAAGGGAGACGTCACGCCAAGCCATAATTTGCAAACCCATTTCAAACCATGGCTTCTAATTCCTAGTGTTCTGGCTGGCTGCAAGCTACGATTTTCCATTTCAGAAATTACGCTAAACCAGGTTAAGCTTCTGTATTTATTTCATTTATTATATATTTTAAACACTTCTAAACTGCCCTTCACCCAAACTGATTCCAGGGTGTTAATACAATGTAGTAATCCAATAACACATACTGGCAATAAAACTGTGAACTACGGAACTATTAAGCAGAGGCCATAAAATTAATTTTAAATGCCTGGGCATATGAAAATGTTTTAAAACAGGGCCAGGGAACCTCAGGCCTAGGGGCCTAATGGTGCCCTCCAAGCTTCTCTATCTAGTCCTCAGACCCCTCCTCAAACCACATTGCCTCTCCCCTTTCCCCAGGTCATGCACCTCGCTGGCCCTGTATCATACCTTGAGTGTTTTTGCTTGACTGTAATGTGCCATTGTTAATGCCTCTGGCTTGCCTGGGTGGAGGATAGAGAGGTGAAGTGTAGAAACTAGTCTACTGTGCAAAGGTATTCTTTGCATTAATTGCCCCACCCACTTTTGCTTCTTGCCCCATTTGCATATGACCCCTGGAGGGTTCCCAGAAGGGAATGCAGACCTCCGACTGGAAAAAGGTTCCTCTCACCTATCTTAAATCCTCTTGCCAGAAAACAATTTTAGCGTCTGTTCCAGTTGATCCACCCTGGAAAGGATATTCCAAAATTGGAATGTCGCCAAAGAAGAGTTCTTCTTTGTTGAACCCACATGCCACCAACGAATTGGACTTGTAGAAGGGATTCATTTGAATATCTTAATGCATGGGAAGAGGGGCACTGTCAGGTATTTGGATTGCAAATTGTTTACATCTTTGAAAGATAAGCATCAGCACCTGGAATTGGGCCCCAAAGCAAATAAGCAGCCAATGTAATTCTTTCAGAAGTGTTGTAATACGACCCCACCTGACTAGACCAGTCAGAATTCTAGCAGTTAAATCCTTTTGTTATGGTTGCTGTTTCAGTGTGTGGAGTAGTAATAGTCACTTGCTAGGTTGCTTTTGAGCACGCAAGTTGCTTGCACTTGCCAATTTCCTATAATGGGGCTTGTTAATGTGCGGTGCTAGTGAGGTCCAGTGCTAGTGAGGTGGAGTAGCTAAGACTGAACTCACAAACCAGGAACTATAGGCTGTAAACTAAATAGGTGACCTTTATTCAGCAAGCTCTGGTCTTTCAACCTTGGCTCGCCATCTAGGTGCTGAAGATGCATCTCTTTACCTCTTTACCCTGGCCTTTGACACTTGATATGCAGATTTTAGGACCCACTCTATTCTTGTAGTGGTAAGTCGTTTTTAAGGTTGTATGTTAAATTGTTGTGACCTGCCATGGGACCTTGGGATGAAGGGTGGGTGATAAATCATTATCATCATCATCATCATCATCATCATTAGAGGGGAATAATATTGTCCTATTGTATGGGGTCCTTGTGATTATCAAAATTTTGATTTTTTGATATTAATTTAATAATTAACAGTGTGAATACTTATGTGAACACTTGAGACAGCAATATAAATGCTGTGGTTATGATGAGGGAGATTAGTCCTAAAGTTTTACTTCTTATATTAAAGTAATAAAGCATTTTGGGTACTTCATATTTAACTATGATTTTGGGTGGCATATTCATGGAGAAATAATAGAACATTTCAAGGTTGGAAATATTTTAGCTTCCTCCCTACCTCCATTCCATAGTTGCCAAAAAATTAGAAATTGGCACCGGCCCTTTGCATGAGGAGTCAAGGAGGATTATTAGGTGCCAATGCCAAGATTTCAGACTTCTGACTGATGAGGTGTTTGGGTCTTTTCCAGCCCTGGAAGATCCTGGGGTTAATAGGCTCACTTTTAACTTCATGGTTTTCATAGACAGTGCTCAAAGGAAACATACACCATTTGCTCTGTAGTTGTAGTTTGGGATGGAATCAAAGCATCCCATGTTAGAAGTGAGACCTGAAGAGACAAATTGCTTCCCCTTTTGAAATTATTAATAACAATAGTGAAAATTATTTTTAAGTTACTGGTGCTGTGACCTGTGGAATCTTCCTTATGCAATATTCTAAAACTGCCAGTTTCTCTTGTGGGCGCCGGGGTGGTGGTGACAGTTGGTGGCGAGATATTAAAAAAGACAAGACCACAGTCAGTACCTGCTGAGCTTTCAAAGTACAGCCTGGTAAAAAGGAGAATTGAGATGACTCGACGCAGCGAGAGGCAGAAGCAGGCTACTGATAAGAAAGCAGAAAAAAGGTTTCAAGGAGAGAAATGTGCAGTGCATGTGTGTAAAGAAGCTTTGAGTGTTGCTTACTTTATCTGGATAAAGAAATACATTGTTGGTGCCAACATTTTGGAGAACAAACGTAGACCACATCTGTTGTACCAACCTCATATTGTGTCAGACCGGCTTAACTGTCATGGCTTCCCACAGCAGAACCATGTGCTGAGTGGGGTATTAACTCTAGCGGGAAGTCGTTAATGAACATCTTTTAACTGGCTTGTTGGATTTCACAATAAAAGGTCTATATAGCTAAATCCTGGGAGTGGTTTCTCAGAAGCAAAGTTCCATAGTGTCTAGCGAGGCTTACTCACAAGAAAATATGTCTAGGATTTTTTGGGTATTTTTTTTATTTAAAAAATTCTCTATTTGCAAGGCACTTGGGAAATTTTTAGCTTAGAAAGGCAGATCATCCCCCATAATACTTGCCAATATGTAAAATATCTGTGCACTTTAGGGCTTGGGAAGTAGCCAGATAATACATCACGTGCCCTTACAAATTTGTGTGGCCAAAAAGTTGTAAGACAGTTTTCTGAGGTTCCATGGGGTGGGAGTGAGGAGAGTAGAGTGATTACTTATGCATCCACAGAAAAAGAGGACACTGATTTGCATATGGTAATTTTTAAGTATAGGTGCAAATTTGGAGATGTTGTTGTTTAGTTGTTTAGTCATGTCCAACTCTTCACGCCAGGCACTCCTGTCTTCCACTGCCTCCCGCAGTTTGTTCAAACTCATGTTAGTACCTTCAAGAACATTGTCCAACCATCTCGTCCTCTGTCGTCCCCTTCTCCTTGTGCCCTCAATCTTTCCCAACATCAGGGTCTTTTCCAGGGAGTCTTCTCTTCTCATGAGGTGGCCAAAGTATTGGAGCCTTAGCTTCAGGATCTGAATTTTGGACATAATTGCTTTAATTTAAATATAAATACAGTATAGCTCACCATAGTGGCGAAGACAGTGAGCAGGGGCCTGTGTTGTACCTGTTTAGTCAGGTGTGGGATGGATGGGGTTGGTGAGCTGATTGTGCATTTGCAGCAGCCCCTAGATATTAATAAAAAGTTAGAATGAGGTGTAACCTAACTGGGGGCAGGGAGGTAGATTTTTGGCAATCCCTAAGCTCTGTTTGGTATGAGTTAAGCAGGTTTGCTTGGTCAGATTCCAGGTCCTGCAGCAACAAAGCGTCACATCAAACCTGTTTTTAACAACATTTGTCAAGATCACATCTCCATTGTTCTTGATAATGGATTTAACAAACTTTCTCCAGTTAGTGCAAATTGTGTTCACTAAACAAAGCGTGTGAAATTTGTTCTGAAGGCCATAGAGGTTGTAAGCTGTGATCTCTTTTCTCCACTCACCCCCATTCCATTTCCTTCTGGGCGCCCCCCCAACTATAGTGACCTGTTCAGCTTTTAAGTGCTTAGTAAATTTTAATAATGCATTTCTAATGTGATCTGTCCGATAAGGCAAAGTGCTCTTACAATTAGTTTTCCCTGCTGAGGTATGTTTATCTGGTAGCCTTTAAGCAGCTGTCTCCTCCTCTTGGCACAGTTTGTCTACTAGGTGAAGTATTTATGCATGCCTTGATAAGAGCTAATTCTCTCAGAAGGAATTTCTGAGAATGGCTGTTACCCAACAGATATTGGGAGTATATATCCATTTAATGTTCTTCAGGTGTACTAAAGCTCTTGCAAGAAGGTAGAAGTCATTTCTGTGCTCTCTGTGTAGAAAGTAGCACCTTGGTTGCATACCATTGAATGTTTTTGTGGGCTGTTCTGTGCTTTTTGGCAAGCCCTCGCCCCGCCTCCGGTCCCCGTCTGATGTGGTGCAGTGTGTTTATGTATGCCAGTGGTTTTGAAATGTTCCGCTTTCTGGGAATCCTTTCTATCTTGGTGCTGCGCATGTGCAGCAAAGTCGCAGACCTAGCTGATGTTTCCAATGAAATGAGGTGATAGAATTTTGGATGGGTGCAAAGTGAGTCTGGGAAAGACTTCTGCTTGGGATACACTAGCTCAACCACTGTAGACAGTGCTGAGCTGGGTGGACCAATGGTCTGACTTGGGAGAAGACCACTTGATATTGTCAGTAGGACTTCACATTGCAGGTGGGGAGGGGGAGATTATACTTGTGATTGCTCCCTTAATGTAAGAGAGCCCTCTCTCCATAAAATACTCCCTGAAAGTAGAAAGAAAGCTTGTAGGGTGTATTCTAATTGCAGGGTGGTTTTTCCACAGAAGAATAAGGTATGTATAGACCAGGCCTCAAATCTTGTGAAAGGCTGACCAGGACTCTCATTGTGTCAGTGGACCTGTGAGAATGTGCCTTAGAACAGGCTGAATGCTTTCCCATCACCTGCACATCCCAAGCGAAGACTATTGATCACAGGCAAGCTGTCTTTCAGAGAAGCTTGCCTTCCATTTACTGAGGT